GAGGTGCGAAACTGGAAGGGGGTCCATTTGGAGAAGCCGCTGGAATTGGTCCCTGAGAACGGAGACCAAAGGGGGCCCCAGTGGGGAGATGAGGGGCAGAGAGGGCCAGAGATCCGAGAAGAGAGAGGAGTGAGGTTGGGGGTCAAAAGAAGAAAGGACTTGGAGGATGTAGTTCTGGTCCAGCTGGGGGACACAAGGGTGACAGGCCTGGAGAATGGGGATGGAGGGGGAGCCCGGTCTGGGGGCCCCAGGAGCCGAGGAGGGCAAGGGATGGAGTGTGGGGACACGGGAGGGAGGTGTCTGGGGCTGGGGAATGGCGTCACGTGCGGCCCCGCCGTGAAGACTGTGTTTGAGGGTGATGTCGAATGGGCGGTGACAAGGAGAGTGTACCTGACGGCGGGGGAGAGCCTGCAGGAAGGAGGCGAAGGAGAAGGCCCGCGGGAACCAAAGAGGCCTCGCTGCCCCTCGGGAGAGGAGGACATGGACTGGGAGCCGCTGGCCAAGTTCCGGGCAGCTTGCGGACCAGAGCTGGCAGACTTGGTGGCCGAGGAGCTGGCCTTTGCCAGGCAGCACGGGACGCGGGGTTTCCACTGGACTGGAGCTGGCTTTGCCCTTAAGGATGGCACCTCGGACTTCTTCCTGGACGGGGCGCTCACGCGCTGCAGCTGCTCCATCCACGCTGCCCGACGTCTGCCCTGCCGCCACCTCTTCGCCGCGCGACTCCTCACCGGGGCAGCCTTATTCCACATGGACCTGCTCAGGGATTGCTGGGGCAGAGCCCCAGAGCCCTGACTCTTCCCACCCCGCTGCCCGCCACCCTGCACTGGGAGGGCGGGAGGGCATTCTTCGATCCCAAAGATAACAGGGCTGAGGCCAAGGAGGCCACCCCAGTCCCTCCGGCCACCTCCTGGCTCATCCAGGGACCTCATCTTGGCAGTTTGCCTGTCTGGGTCCGAGGGGAAGCCGACACTGTGCTCTCTGAGGTCCGGGAGCCACAAGTGTGGAAGATGGTGGTGGCCAGGGTGGATTCTGAGGGCTTCCCTCCGTGGTGGAAGTGTGTGATGAGAGGTGTAGACAGGGTCAGGCCAGGGCGGAAGGAGGAAAGGGACCAAGCTGGGGGAGGGGAGGACAGCAGGCTACGGGGAGAGCCTGGCAGGAGAAGGCTGGTCAGTCCAGGGAGTGCAGGGGGTGAAGGGAATAAAGCAGCGGAGAAAGAGAGGAGACAAATAAAGGAGAGGGAGGGAGAAAAGACCGTAGCGGAGGAGAGAGGATGGGAGAAGCGGCAGAGAAATGGAGAAGAATGCAGACAAGCAGAGGGAGGCAGGAGAGGAGAGAGAAGAAAGGAAGGAGAAGGACAAAGGGGAGGTAGGGGAGATGGGCAGAGAAGGAAGGAGACGCGGGTGCTTTTGCTATTTCTCCAAAGCCTGCAGGCCTGGGTCCCCTTCGCCTTCTGGTTGGTCTTCCCCGGAGAAGAGAATAAGGGCGTGCTGGGAGTCTGGGGGGATGGGCTGGAGGGTCTCCACTAGGGGAGGGGAACCGTTTGGACTACTGTGCTTCACGATTGGAATAAAACAGTATTATTTTGGTTTCCATGCTGAGTTCTTGGCTTCTGGGAGAGGGTGGGATGCCCAGACCCAGAGGGAAGTTGAGATGCTCCAGCATTCCTTCCTTCTTTCTCTGAGCAAGGCCTGCTGAGGCTGGATGCAATGAAGGGGTCAAAGATGAATCCATCTCCATGGCAGCTCGGGCCTCATCCTCCCTCACCTGGACCAGGATGCCATGGGGGCAACTTGCCAATATCCATGGATTCCACCCTCAGATGGTCAGTCCATGCCGGTCTCGGCCACCATGCCAGTGATGGGTTGAAGAAAGGGTTTGTGACCTGCTCCTGGCCAGTGGGTCTGCTCAGGGCAGGGGGCTTCCGATAAAGGTGCTCTCAAGCTTAAGAAGCAGCCCCAGAATGAGATGGCCAGGCCTAGACCTGCTTGCAAGCATCTTAACAGAGCGTGAGAATGAAGCCAGCACTGACGACGACAGGCCTAAGAGATGAAGAAAATCTACATCCTGGCTTAATCTAGTGGAGTGTGCCCTGCTGTGGGGCTTCCTAAGGCAGACAGAAGAGATTATAATGACTTAAGGCAGTTTGAGTTGGGGTCTCTGTTATCACAAGGGGGGAGGGGGACCGAAGTCTATTGCAGGTGACAGAAATCCAGATCAGTGTAGCCCAGCAGATTTCAAACTTTAATGTGAACAAAAATCACCCAAGCACCTTATTAAAACAGTTGGATCAGGAGACCTGTGGTGGGGGCCTAGAATTCTAGGAAGCCCTCCAACGACGAGGTTGCTGCTGGATCGCAGACATGCTTTGAGTAGCAACGAAGGAGCTTAACATAAAAGGTCACTCAGCGATTTAAGTCACGAGGCAGTTAAAGGCCTCAAGTACAGCTGAATCCAGAGGCTCAAATAATGTCAGGTCTCTACCTTGTGGTTGTGCTGTTTGCATCATGGCCTCCTTCAAAAGAAGGCCAAGAGAGCCTCTTCAAGCCCCAATCCTATATCCTCAAATCTTCATCCAAAGAGACCTCTCCAGCAGCATCCATATATCAAATCTCAAGGAAGAAGTTGATTAGATTATCTATGGTTATGGTAATGCTGTGTCACAACCTTAACACTTCAAAGGTATGTGACAATAAGCATTTATTGTTTATGTGTCGTTTACTGTTTATGTGCTCAAACTTGAGTGGGCCTCGGGAAACTGATTGCCCAGAGATCTTGTTAAAACACAGATTGGGGTGCCCCATCCCCCGAGTTTCTGATTGAGCAGGTCTGAGGATTTGCATGTCTAGTAAGTTCCCAAGTGATGTTGAAGCTTCTGGTTCAAAGATGAAACTTGGAGAATCTCTGATCAAAACCTGGACCTGTGCCCATTCCTGTAGCAGGCCGCCTGGGCAGACAGGATGTACAGCGTCACAGAGAGCGGGGAGGGAGGGCCGTTAAAGAAAGGAGGCAGGAGGAATCCTGAGCAGGCAAACCCGCAGTGGTCCAGCACAGACCAATGTCCCAAACCTCTCCACTTGACTCTTATCATTAGATTCTTGGATGTGGGTTCTGGGAAGGGAAAGAACTCGGGCCATAATATAAATTAAAGAAGGGCCAGTGGAGGTGGGTCAGGATGTCAGAGAGACAGATGTGGGTAGTGACATCAGCAGGGCCTTATACTTACAAAAGGAGGTGAATCTTTATCCTGAGAGCAATGGAAAGTCATTCAAAAATTTAAGGCAGGGGTATGGCTTGACTGGATGTATAAAAATAAAACCACCCCTGGCAGCTTTATTGTGACAAATGCATCCATGTGAGTCCAGAGGACGAAGAGATTTATGGTCAGCAAAACAGGACAGAGCAGATTTTTCAGACAAGTGGATCTTGAACGATGTGTTTGCCAGGAAGAGAAAATGGGAAAGAGCATTCTTGGCAGAGGGAACAGCCTGTGTAATGGTATTTTGCCCTTCGGGAAGACGAGAGAAAACCCAAAGGTCAGTGATTGATCTATGAACCTCTACATGCCCCACATGTCCACCATAATCCCTTGAGGCCTCTGCTCACATGTAACCTCCTCCTAAACGCCATCCCTGAGCAGTCTGTTTAAAGAGTCACTCCATCCCCTTTCTCTGCTTTGTTCTTCACAACACTTATCGTTACCTGAAATTATGCCACATAGCTCTTCACCAGTTTAGCACTGTGGTTAAGCTTACAGAGTATGAAGCCAGATTGTTTCAGTTCGGATCCCAGGTCCACTACGTACTTGCTGTGTGCCCTTCTGTTGCTTAATCTCTCTCTGTTACAGTTGGGGAATAATAATAGTGCCTGTTTCACAGGGTTCTGCGAGGGTAGCTGAATTAGCGCGTCTATCAATGTTCTCACATCGTCTGCATTTCCACTTCCACCAAAGCATCTTGTGAAAATTAATAAAGGCAAACCTCATTTAAACATGGAGATGGGGGTCCGGCCCAGTGGCGTAGTGATTAAGTTCTTGCACACCACTTTGCTGGACCAGGTTCAGATGCCACCCGGGGACCTACGAACTACTCATCAAACCACGCTGTGGCAGCATCCCACAAAAAATAGAGGAAGATTGGCACAGATGTTAGCTCAGGACAATCTTCCTCACAAAAAATAAAAAATAACAAAAAATAAAAATGGAGACAGGAGGCCAGAAGGGGGCGCCCTCATGCACTACCACTAAACAAATTACAGGAAGGATTGTCACTTACAGACCTCAACAGGAAGAGATGTACATTGCATCCCAAGGAGAAATCCACTACCCCAGCAACAAAGCCAATTAGAAAATGTCACCACCCTAAAGTCTTGTTTTTTACCAATGGATTTTTGTTCAAAATAACCCCTCCCAACTTCCTCCTCTTTCTCTATAAAATAACTTCCTCTCCTTTGCTTGTTGGACTTGCCTATGGCTTTTGCTATAGCTTGCTTGTCCCTAATTACAATTTCTCTGCTATTCCCAAATAAACTCATTTTGCTGGGAAATAACTGACTTTTATTTTTAGGTTGACATTATGAAGTACCTATTAATACCGTTTTCTCTAGTGATTTGTGTTCGTTGTTGTTATCAACAGTCAATCTTCTCCCACCAAAATATAAGCTCTATTTGTTTCCCATTGTATCTGCCTAGAACTGTGCCTGCCGCAAAGTAAGCACTAAAAAAGATGAAAGAATAAAAATGGCAGACTGGCTAGTAAGGCTAGTGCTTCATCATGCCTCATTGTTGTTATGGTGACAATAGAGCCTGCCTAAAGACTCCCAGCGTCAGTCACTTTGTTCCCATCCAGCTCACCTACTGGCGGCCGCTTGTGTCTTCCGCTGTAGCAGCCAGAAAACTACAACTCCCAGCAGGCTGAGCGCCGCCAGCGCGGGCCTGCTAAGAGTGGGCGCCTGCGCAGTAGAATCTGCAGTCCGGCGCTCCATCTGAGCATGTGCTGGCTGTGGGGCTCTTAGTCGCTGGAGGCAGAGGACAGAGGAGGGAGCTTGGTTCGCTGAGCTTTGTGCGGGTGGCCCCTCGTCTCTCCCCACTCTCGCGGTGCGAGGGATCTGGGTCCCTGGACCGACATTTCGGCGTGAGGGGGGATGGAGGGGACTGCTCTGGTTTCCATGGTGATGGGCCGGGTTCTGCACGCGGAGGGGATTGCTGCGGGAGGGGTGGAGGGGAAGCCAAAGGTAGGCGTTGCCATGGTAACCCTGGAGCGGAAGGAGTTTAGGGATGTCGTGGGAGGAATGAGAGTAACAGCCTGGGATGCTTGGTGGAAGAATGGGGAGTGTGATGGAGGAAGCGGTTAGAAAAAAGAGGAGTTGAAGTGATACTAGGGGAATTAGGTGTTTTGAGCGAGTGGGAGTGTCTTGGTGGATTCATATATAATAAGGGGATTTGGGGAGGTCATTGGAGAAATCGGTATGCTGATAAGTACCTGGGATGTTTCAGGGGAAGTGGAAATGCAGTAGGGGACATTAGGACGTTAAATTCATTTATCAATCAGATTATCTGCACAGCTCCTCGTATGTGCCAGGCACGGCTAGATTTGGAGAATACAGTGGTGAGCAGGACGTGTGAGATTATAGAGGGGTTTAGGGTTTATGGGGCAGTTAGAGTATTATAGGAAAAGGAGCGTGTTGTCGCATGGAAGAAACGGGCAGTTGGAAAGAACTCGGTTATAAGAAGAAGCTGGAATTGGGGTATTACGTAAATTAATTCTGGCACTATTTTAGAAGACTAATGAAGTACCAGCCTCTGGGAAGCGCTGGGGACTCCTCAGAGCGAAGTTAGTCTTATGGATAGGGTTGCCAGATTTGGGGGGAAGGCAATGCCAATTAAATTCAAATTTCACAACACATGCTATTTTAGTTGTTTGTCGTTTATCTGAAATTCAAATTTAACTGGGCAGTCTATATTTTCATCTGGCAACCCTAATTTTAGGGAATTGGGATGTTTAGGAAGAACGGGTTCTTATAGGGGACGTGGAGCGTTACAGAGTAATTGGCTTGTAGGAAGAGGAGCTGGGGATACTCAGGAAAAGGCGGAGTGTTGAAGCCAACATTAAGATCGCCACTTACTGTATGCCCGGGGCTATGCTAAATGCTTTTGTTTTCAAAAGCTCTTTATGATGGGAAATTTCAACCCTACACAATAGTAGAACAATGTAATGAAGCTACTTGCACCCTCTCTGCTTTAAATGAGCACCATATTGAAGCATCTCGGCAATCCTATGCGGTAGCATTACTATTATCCCCCCATTTTACAGTTGAGGAAACTGAGGCAGAGAGAGGTTAAATAACTTGACCCAAGTCACACATTGGAAGGGGCAGGACCAGGATTTGGAACCAGGCAGTCTGGCCTCCGTCTGCAGTGTAACACACAACTTCCGTTTGGGAAGTGTCGGTAGGGGGAAGTGGGACCTTGTGAGAGCAACTAGAAGGAGGTAGGGTGTCAAAGGAAAGATAATTGGGCTGTTTAGCTTGTGCCATTGTTAGAGGATTCCTATAAGGGCGAGTGGAGGCTTGTTGGGAGCACTGGGATGTTTGGGGAGAGTAGGGGAGTTATAGGAAGAGTTTGGTGTTTTGAGGTATAACGGGAAGTTGTGTAGCTGTGTTTTCTAGTACAGTAGCAGGTAGCCACATGTGGCTAAATTAAATTAAAATGAAATGCAATTAAAAACTCTGTTCCTTGGTTACACCACATTTCACATACTCGGTGGCCCCACTGTATTGTACACTGAAGTCCTAGGCCATTTCCATCACTGCAGAAAGTTCTATCTGCCGGCACCGATGTGTGGCAAGAAATAGGATGTTACAGTGAATGTGCGGTTTCCTGGTTCCTAACTCTCCGGCCTTCTCTCTTATCACTTGCCCTCCTGCCTCATCTACAGCCGGCTCTAGCCTGTTCCCCAAACAGGACCAACTCCATCTAACTTTGACCCCTGCTCTTCCCTCTGCCTGGAATCCCCATCCGGCTCTTTGCACTTCAGGCTTAAATGTCACCTCCCGGGAGAGGATTCCCGTGAGAGCCTTATTGAAAGACGCCAGCATCCCCTTCCCACCACCAGCAACTATCCCATCCCCCTGTATTATTTCTTTCAGAAAACTTTCCAGGATCTAAACTCTTGTTCATTTATCATTTACCTTTTCATTGTCCATCTTCCCCACTAGGGGGAGGCCTCCCCCTCACCATGGAACATTCCAGGGCCTGAAATTGTGCCTGGCCCAGAAGAAACAATAAATTATGTTGACTAAGCGAATCGAGGCTATTCAGAATTCGAGAGTAGTGATATTACAGGGGAGATTGGGGTGTTACTGGGGGGGCATAGGAATTGATACCAGGAATTTGGGTGATAAAGGAAGGATTGGGGCACAAGGGGGTATGGAGGACATTAGAAAACAAATGAGGGGGTGGCAGAGGAGGACTTGGGACGTTCCATGGAATTGGCTATTTGCAGGATTATTAATTCCCCAGTGCCTCAGTTTCCTCATCTGTAAAATGGGAATAATAACGATATCCATTTCATAAGTTTGTTTGAGGCTTAACTGAGGTAACACATGGAACGTGTTTAGAAGACACCCTGTCATCATCAAAATTATTACTGATGTTAAAGCAGGAGTTGGGGTACACAGGATCCTGCCTCCTTGCTTCACCCCGTTCCCCAACTTGGCCTCACTGCACCTGGGAAGAACCCTGGGGTTCCAAAAAGTGGTTTGAAATCCACTCTGCTGAGGCAGGCCACCGCAGACTGTGACAATAGCGGGCACGTGGCAGGAGATGGGTAGCAGTAACTCTTCCCGGTGTAGACGGTCCAGAGCCCTCTTCACAGCTCCCCACCTGGCCGCCTTCACTCATCAAAGCCCCATGCCTGCCCCCATGCTGACATTTAATTAGCTCTGAACTACACCGTGCCACAGGTTTTACCTATGGGATCACCCATGCTCCCCAGGAGGTGGGCATTGTGCCCGTTTTCCGGCTGGGGAAATTAAATCAGAGAGGTTCAGCGATTTGCCTAAGGACACACACAGTAGAGGAGAGTCGTTCTCCCCAATCTCCACCCCTCCACTTCGAGTGGCTCTCATTTTAGCAGAAAGAATGCCTGGATGGAGTCACAGAGAACTAGCCGGCTCCCAGTACGGCTCAGTCATGCGCTTATTGAGGCTCATTCTCTCTGCGCCTCAGTTTCTTCATGTGGAAAATGGCTGCTTTGAGAATTGAAGATAACGTGCTTATGCTGTCTGGTACATGCCAAGCGTATCAGTAATCAGTATTATATATCAGTCCTCTCCTTTTCTTTTGAGACTGAAGCTGTGGGTTGACATTTGAGGGGAAATTCGGCGACGGCGAATGGGGAGACCCCGCCAAGTCAACCCCCTAATAAATACCGACCGCTGGTCCAGAAATCCGCTACGCATGCGCATTCCGGGGCGCAGGATGCGCCGCGGCCCCGGATCTTAGGATGGATGGAGACGCCCGAGAACCGAAGGTCTAGCTGGAGGGGAAGATGCAGAGCACAGCACTAAGTGGGGCGGGGGTAGCGATAGGGAGGCTGCGAAGTGTAGGAAGACACTGGTCGAATCTAAAAGGCACGGGCCAGCCGGCGGCCCGGTCAGTTTCTAGCTGAACAGGGATTCCGTTCATGCTTCACCCCCCCCCCCGGTAATGGTCTCGCCCGACTCCCCTTCTCTTCTGCCACTCCAGGACGTACCAAGTTCGCAGCAGAGGGATGACAGGAGTGGGCCTGGGTGCAGAAGGGACCATGCGGCGGGCGGGACCATTGTCGTGGAGATCGGGGGAAAACGTAGGTGGAGGGGGCGGCGGTAAAGGGGTCCAAACAGTTGGAAGAGGAGAGGCCTTCAGGAGCCCCTTGTTTGAAGGCTGGGGCGGGGCTTGGAAGACGTTTGCAAGGAAAAGAAGGCGGGGCCTCTGGAAAGGCGCGTTCATTGGGTGGGGAGGTGGGAGGTTGCGGTGGGCGAGTTCATCGTGTGTCCGAGTGAGGGGGATGAAATTGGTTGGGAGACACCATTGTTTGTAGGGGGAGATTCCGGCAGTGCTTGGCGGTGGCCTCTTCGTGCATGAATGGGGAGGGTCCGGGTGAGTGTGTGCATGGGTAACGGGTTTGAATTATGCCTTGAAGGAGGATTTGGATTCTGACAGAGGCTCTGAGAGGGCACATCAGATGTGGGGGAACAACAGGTACAAGTGTCCCTTGGCGGAAGAGTTAAGGACCCACTTGCAGAAGGAGGGGCTGCCTTTGGCGTGTAAGGTCCACAGGCAAATACATCCAGAGTGATGCTGGAGAGTATGCAGGGGACATACCAAAAGGGCCTGGACTGCCAGGTTGAGGGGCCTGATGCGGTCCCAGGGTGCTGGGGAGCCATGGGAGGGCTGTGAGCAGGAGAGGAGCAAGATCAACTCTGGGTGAAGAAAGATCCGTCTGGGGCCATGTCGGGGTTCGACTGGAGTGGGGAGACTGGAGGCGGGGAGGCCAGAGAGGAGGCTGGAGTGATGATCCAGGGGGAGAGGAGGAGCCCTGAGCTGGGACACGGGCCATGGGGACAGAGGGGAGGATACAAGGAGAGAGAAAACACAGGAGGGATGGGGCTTGGGGACTGACAGGTGGGGGAGGGGAGGAGAAGGTGGGACGAGACCTCCCCGGGGCATCTGGCCCAGTGACGCGGTGGACAACCGGGCTATGCACAGATGGGGACCCCCGGAGGAGGAGTGGGTTTGGAGGAAGACTCTGAGGTCAACATAGATGTCATGAGTTTGAGAGACCAGCAGGTCATCCGCGGGGCTCAGGAGGGAGGTCCTGCTGCTGTCCGCTGTGTTTGGTCCTTGGTCCTGTGTGTGTGTGGGGGGGGGGGGGGGGTCGAGCTAGCTGGGGAGAGGGAGGTCAAGTGAGGAAGTCAAGGGTTCAGTTTAAGAAGCCATATTGTGGAGGGCCTTGAACGCCAGACTGAGGAGCTCATTTTTCTCCTGGGGGTGCTAGGGAGCCATGGGAGGAATGTGAGTGGGGCAGGGGCAGCACTGGAGGACAGAAAGACCCCTCTAGGGCCACATGGGGAATGGATCGGAGAGGGGAGACCAGAGGCAAGGAGCCCAGGCAGGAGGCTGGACGAGGACACACACGAGCTGGGTTCAAGGCGGCGAGGATGAAGAGAAGTATATAGTTGGTGGTTGAGGCCATGGGAATATCTGTGATCTCCCCAAGGAGGGTCTTGGCAAGAGATGGCCTGGCTGGGCCCCAGGGCAAATGAGACCTGGGAGGAGACCGCGCTCCCAACAGCAGCAGCATGGAGAAAGACTGAGACTCTTGCCTGAGGCTCCCCTTCTCTCTCCCTCAGTCCCCTCTGCCTCCTCGCAGCCCGGAGCTGACCAACAACAGCCCCGCCTCACTGTCACCTCAGCATCCAGAGCCCCAGGGCCAAGTCAGGGGCAGACCCCACGCCATGAAGGTGGGAGATGGAGCTGTGGGTCCTGGAGACCCCCCAGACTGTCAGGGGTTGGATCCATCTCAACTGAGGACACACTCTGAGGAGCCCGAGGTCCCGGAAGAAGAGGTGAGCACCCCAAGTCCCACCCCGGGAGTGGGCGCCTGTCGGTTTAGTTCCAAGCTCTGCCACTTCCTGGCTTTGCGACTCGGCCCATGGACACTCTGCTCTGAGCCTCAGTTTCTGCGTCTGTGAAATGCCACCTTTCCCGTTGCGGGGAATCCCTAGAGACGGCGCTGGTTCAGAGCAGTTGCACAATAAATGTGTTTATTATTCTCGGGCCTGAAACAGGAGGCAGCCATAGATGCGCGATCATGCTGCTTGTCCCTCTTGAGAGGCATTTGAGAAAATGAGGATTCCCTCGCCACCTCCTCCCCTTACACCTCCCAGGTCTCTGCTTCCCGTGTCATCTTCTCAGTGAGCCCACCCAAGTCGCCCCCTTCAAGGGGCATCCCCGCCCCAGCCCTGGCATTTCCTGTTTCCTTTCTCTGCTTCACTTCTCAAGTTTTAATGAAACTGTTGCCTTCCAGCCGGTCTTCCTAAAAACTCATGTATTTGTGCTAGTGTAAGTGAAAAAGTTATTTACCAGCTCATGTTCATCTAAACCCCAAGAGAAGCTGGTTTCAGTGAAAACTTTCGGTCTGCAAATTTGTTTAAAGAAAACTGTTGGATATCAGCTGATTTTAAGTTATTGTGCACAAGATGTGTTCATGAGAACCATTGCATTCAAACGAGTTCTAATGACAACTCATCTGCCACACTTCATATCTTACTTGCTTCTCTTGTGCTGGGCCGCAGCTCCTGATTCAGGAATCTGTTGTGAGCAACATTCATGTGTAAATATGTTTCACCAGCCTTCCCCTGCGATTCTGATGCAGGCATCCTGAGGACCACACTGTGGTCCAGCCCATCCCCCTCATTTCTCAAGTGAGGAAATTGATGTCCAGAGAGGCATCTTGACTTCCCTGAGGTCACACAGCACGTCAACAGCAGTCCAGGCATTCTGGCTGGGGCCCAGCCCAGGAGAAGTCAGTCACTGCTAAGTGATGTTCAAATTGTTCCCGTGCCTCTCTGGGCTCTCAGGTCCCCAACTATCAAACAAGGGTTCATCATTAACCAGGGGCAGGATATCATGGGCTCCAATCCCACCTTTGCCTCTTACTAGCTGTGTGATCTTGTCCAGATATTTCTTAATCTCTGTGCCTCGCTTTTCTCATCTGTCAGATGGGGATAACAAAAGTCCCCACCTCAGAGAGTGAGTTCAGTGAGTTGATCACATGAATTGCTCAGAGCAGTGCCTACATCCTCTAAGTGTCCAATAAGTATTAGCTGACAACATTATCTCTAACATTGTCACTAAGAGGTCTGCGAATATACTGGGTAGGTGGGTGAGTACTGATTTGTGAGGGCTGGCTTTCGAACCCAACTTTCCAGATTCAAATCCTGACTCTTCCACTTCCAAGCTCTGTGGCCTTGGGCTAGTGACTCACCCTCTCTGAGCTTCAGTTTCCCTGCAGATGACTGGGTTATTGTAAGCCCTCAATATGGTACCAAGTATACAGAAAGTGCTAAATAGATGCCAAGCAAACTGTTTTTATTAGCTGTGCCCCTCTGTGTTTGGAGTGTTGGCTGCAAATGGCATATGTTAGTTTGCCATGGCTGCTGTAATAAATTATCACAAACTCAGTGAGCTAAAACCACACACATTTACTCACCTACAGTCTGGAGATCAGAAGTTCAAAATTGGGGCTGGCCCGGTGGCGCAGCGGTTAAGTTCGCACCTTCCCGCTTCTCAGCGGCCTGGGTTTCGCCAGTTCGGATCCCGGGTGCGGACATGGCAGCGCTTGGCACGCCATGCTGTGGCAGGCATCCCACATATAAAGTAGAGGAAGATGGGCACGGATGTTAGCTCAGGGCCAGTCTTCATCGGCAAAAAGAGGCGGATTGGCAGCAGTTAGCTAATCTTCCTCAAAAAAATAAAGTAAAATAAAAAAGAATTTCAAAATCAACTTCACTGGGCCCACATCAAGGCATCAGCAGGGCTGTGCTCCCTCTGTGCTTGGCTGTAGGGGAGAAACCACTTCCTTGACTTTTCCAGCTTCTAGAGCTGCATTCCTTACATTCCTTGCTCCGGGCCCCTTCCTCTGTCTTCAAAGCCAGCAGGAGCCTAGCATCTTGATTCAGTGCTCACATTGCTTTCTTCTTCTGCATCAAATTTCCCTCTGCTTCCCTCTTATGAGGATATTTTCGATTACATTTAGGGCCACCTAGATAGTCCAGGATGATCTCCCCATCTCACGGTCCTTCATTTAATCACATCTGCAAAGTCCCTGTGACCATTTAAGGTAACATTCATAAGTTCCAGGGATTGAGGACCTGGAAATGTTTGGAGGCCATTATTCAGCCTACCACGTGGCAGAAAATCCAAATCAAACTGCTTAAGTAACAAAAGGTAAGTTATTGCCTCACTTAACCAAAAAGTGTAGGAGCAGATGCTTCAGGTGTGGCTAGATCTAGGTGCCCATCAGGAAGCTGTCTCTCCCTTCTCTTGGTGCTATTTTCCTCTGTGACAGCTTCATTGACAGGGTGACTCCTCCCAAATAGTGCGAAAGATGGACACAGGCAGCTCCAGGCTCACATCCAAAGATAAGTGCTATGGAGGAAATTAAAGTCAGGAAGGAGGTAGGCAGAGTCGGAGGGGTAGCATGAATTTCCATTTTAAATAGGGTGGTAAGGAAAAGCCTCAGTAAGAAGTGACATTCCAGCAAAGACCTGACAAGGGTGAGGGAGGAATCCCGGCGGCCATCTCCGGGAGGAGGGTTCCGTGGAGGAACCTGGAGGAGGCCAGTGTGGCCAGACCCTAGTGAGCCAGGAGAAAGGGTGAGAGATGAAGTCAAAGAGGGAAGGCGGGCAGGTCATGCCGGGGCTCGCGGGTCGTGGTGAGGACTTGGGCTGTTCTCTGAGCTAGAGGGGGGCGCGGGGAGGGCTCCGAGCTGAGGAGGGCCTTGCCTAACGTGACTGAGGTGTTAACAGGCGCCCTCTGGGGAACACACTGGGGAGGTCGAGGGCCGAGGCAGGGAGTCCAGAGAGGAGACCACTGCAGTAACCGGGGATGGGGGGGGGGGGGGGATGATTTTGGCTTAGAGGACGGTGGTGGGAAGGTGAGAAGAGGTCAAGAGGTCGGACTCTGGATGTATTTGCAAGATAAAGCCAACAGGTTTGCTGAGGGATTCCATGAAGGTGCCTGAGAAAGGTGTCCCGCTTTTACCCTGAGCGCCTTGCAGGAAAGGAGCTGCCTTTTGCTGACATGAAGACGTCAGCAGGAGCAGGGGCAGGGTGGAGGAGCAGGGGCGGGGTGGAGGAGCAGGGCGGGGTGGAGGAGCAGCGGCGGGGCGGAGGAGCGGGTGGAATGGAGGAATAGCGGCGGGGCGGAGGAGCAGTGGGGGTGGGGCGGAGGAGCAGTGGTGGCGGGGTGGAAGAGCGGCGTCGGGTGGAGGAGCAGGATTTCGGAATGAACCCGTTTAGGTCGCATCTCTGCTCCAGGAGGGGGTCCGGTTATCTGCTCGTTTGACAGAGGCGGTTGCGGCCTCAAGCCCAGGGACCCGCCGCTGGGCAGCGGTGGCATCCGGGCTGACCCGGGTCCTGAGCCCTCTCTCCTCCTCTCCCAGGCGCCCGGGGGAGACGAGGCGGCGGCCCCGGCCCTGCTGCGGCTCATCGACGAGCGCGGGGCGTACTCGACCGCGCGCCTCGTGCCCGACGGGGCGCCAGGCTCCCTCCGCGGCGGCGCCGAGAGCCCGGAGAGGGGGGCGCGGCCCAGGCCGTTCGGCTGCGCGGCCTGCGGGAAGGCCTTCAAGCGCGCGTGGGAGCTGCTGAGCCACGAGGTGGTGCACACGGCGGCCCGGCCCTTCCGCTGCGGCCTGTGCGCGGCCGCCTTCAAGCGCCACTCGGACTGCAAGAGCCACCGGCTGGTGCACAGCGACGAGCGGCCGCACCGCTGCGAGGCCTGCGGCAAGCGCTTCAAGCGCGCCAGCAACCTGCAGGTGGGGGCCTGGGGGCTGGGGGCTGGGGGCGGGGCAGGGCGGTGGGCTGGAGGGGGGGCGGGGTCTGGAGGGAGGGGTGGAACTTTCCGGCAATAGGGAGAGCGGGGCTGGGCCAGAAGCGAATGGGGGAGTGCCCGGGCCGTGGAGTTGGGAGGGGTTAAGTGGATGTGGAGGTGGGCTAGAAGGTGGAAGAGGCCCAGGAAAGATGAAAGCCAAGAGGCCTAGAGAAAGTAGACTTGCCAGTGAAGGAGGTGGCAGCGATGGTCATGACATGATAGAAAATGGGGACGGGTTTTTGAGGTGGGTAAGGAGATGGGGTCTGATTGGGAAGAGAAGGTGCAGGAAAGGGATGTTCCAGTGGGTGGGGTGGGCGCGGGTGTGCTGAGAGCCATGATGGAAGAAAGGAGAGGCCTCGTGTTAGCCTGGAGGAGCCCCGCTCTCACAGCCCTACCCTGATCCCTCCTGTTACCCGGTGCTGCGCTGACCTTCTCGTGGTGCCCCCCCCTTGTGTGGCCAAGGGGGCAAGAGATGCTGGAATTCTCTGCCTAAGGAGCCCCAAGGCTGCTTCCAGGGCGCTCTCCGGATCCAGCCTCCCAAAGGTGCACTTTGCCCTGCCGGCGTGTGCACTCCAGGCTGGAAGGACGGCAGGGAGGCTGGGGACATGTGGGCTGGGCTGTCCGTCTGCGCGTGGGGTATCCTGGAAGCTGAGCCAGTTCCCCTGGTTCCACCAAGTGCAGCTCTGAGGATTCCAAACATTACAAATGTGGACCTGGTGTTCTAGGTCATTGTGAAGGTATCTTGGTCAAAGTAGGAGGAAAAACATATTTCATAGTCGGATTTGTCATTTTAAAAATGTTTCCACGTATTGCATGTGCATCTCCGTTTGATCTCCTTCCCAGAGAACTCGCAAGTATCAGGGGTGAGTTTAGCTGGAGAGGGGTGTCCTGCAGAGGTGAGCGCCCGCTCCTCACTCTCTGTGCTGTCCCTGCCCCCAGGAGCACCGGCGCATCCACACGGGCCAGCGCCCCTTTCCCTGCCCGTCTTGCCCGAAGCGCTTCAAGACCCCCTACGAGCTGCACCGCCATGAGCCGCGGCACGCCCCTTCGCGGCCCTTCGCCTGTCCCGACTGCGGCAAGGCCTTTGCAGCGGGGCCTGCCCTGCTTCTGCACCGGCGGCGACGCTGCGAGGACAAGCCCCACGCGTGCCGGGTGTGCGGCAAGCGCTTCACGTACGGGCACAGCCTGCGGGTGCACGAGCGCGTGCACACGGGCGACCGGCCCTTCGTCTGCCCGCTGTGTGCCAAGGCCTTCAAGCAGTCCAACGCGCTGGCCTCTCACCGCCGCGTGCATTCGGGCGAGCGGCCCTACCGGTGCGCCACCTGTGGCAAGGCTTTCAAGCAATCGTCCTACTTGGCCGTTCACCAGCGCACGCACACGGGCGAGCGGCCCTACGCTTGCAACGCCTGTGGCAAGGCCTTCTCCAGGCCGTCGCTGCTCCTGCAGCACCGCCGTGTGCACAGCCCTGTGCGCCCTTATGCCTGCCGTTTCTGCCCCAAGCTCTTCAAGGACCTGGCTTACCATGCCATCCACGAGAAGGTGCACACGGGAGACACGCCCTATAAATGCAGCGTCTGCAGCAAGGGCTTTGCGCACCCTAGCAGCCTGCTACAGCATCAGAGGGCGCATCGGGATGGCTGAGGGCTGCGTGCCAGGCCGTGGCGGGGCCAGGGAGGGCTCAGTGTCCCCGCAGCTGCAATGTGGGATAACCATGTCCAACTGAGGCCCCATTTAGGGTATGCGGGACTCTGCACGGATAGAAACATTCTCTATTTGCGCTGTCCGATATCTTAGCCACCAGGCACGTGTGGCCCTTTGATCATTTGAAATATGGCTAATATCACTGCAGAAGTGATTTTTGGGGGGTAACTTTTTACTTTGAAATAGTTTAAGACCCAGAGGAAGTTGCAAAAATAGAACGGAGCCTTCCCATGTACATTTCCCTCAGCTTCTCCCCCAATGATAATATCTTAGAGAACGTAAGACATTGTCAAAAACCCAGGAAATTGATGTCAGTACGATTCTGTTAACTCAGGTACAGACCTTATTCAGATTTCACCAAAACGTAAATGAATTTTGAAATGTACTTAATTTTGATTAACTTAAAATGTAAATGGTTAGCTGCCACCATCTTGGATAGGGCAGCTCTAAGGCGTGAAGACACCGATGGTGAGGGGTCCCCAGTGGTGGTTTGTGACATTTGAAGAACTGCCACACATGCCCATGTGAGCCACAAAATACTCTTGAGAAGGACTTTGCAGAGGGTCTTTACCAAAACCATCAATAATAAAGTCGTCCTTCGGCAAGGACTTTCCATTGGCAGTTTGTGGCATAAAGAACATCTGGGTAGCCACAAATGCAGGTGGGAGCTGTAGGAACTTTCTCAAATGTTAGCACTCCTGGGACTCCACCACGTGCACGTAGACCTCTGGTGCCGAGGCCTTCCTGGTGGCGTTCATCGCGTTTTAAGAAATTCACAGATGAGTGGGTAACTCTTCAAAGAGGACACTCTGGGTTATGTCCATGCAGGCACAGGACCATGAAACTGTTGGTGCCGAGATCTTCTCCTTTGTGGTGTATGGCATTTTAGGCAGAGTCGTTTTGCTAAGGACGATGGCTTGACCTGCATGGGTTCCATCTCTGATTGGCTGCTTCTTGGGCCTCATCTTTCAGATCAATGTATGATGGTTTGAGGCCTTTCCAGACCCTCCACAATGTTCCCTTCCACCCCAACAGCAGCTCCGTGAACCTGACTTTGGATGGAGACATTCTCCTGGACCTTGCCTTATGGATGGTCGGAAGCGTGATGAGATGGCTTATGGAATGGTGACCAAGGTGGTATCCAGAATATCGGAGTCGTCCCATTCCGCCCCCGAGATCAGCAATGTGGACATAGTTTTTAAAGCCAGTAATATTCCAGGTACCATGTTGCTGGTGCTGAAGCATCCCCTGGGTGGCCTCTGGGATCTTTCAGAATCTCAGTATTGCCTCCCATCTGCCCACACCCCATTCTCAGCTCTCCATTGGTCTGCTCTCAAGGGGGTCACCCTTACGCATAGTTTGGCGTAAGGAAGTATGTTGACATCACTGGTTCTGTGATCCCTCTTGGTGATTTGGGACATTTCCAGCACACCTTCAGCTCTCCCTCTCGCACCTCTTGGTCTGGCCTCAGCTAACATTTATCAAATACTTGACAGCCTATGAGATGCTTTCACTTAAGCTTGTTGTCATTGTCTCTCTTCCCCCCGCCCCACTTCCTGTAAGGTAAGAATTATCCTTGTAGCCAGTTTGGGACAACGTCTTAACTCATTGGAGTGTAAACACAAACCAGTTTTGTATCTTATATAACCGTTATCAACTCTGCTTTACCTGCTGAGTCCAAGTCTAATGTTTACAAAAATCTCAATCCAACTCTATAACTTTTCAGTCTCTTTTGGTTATCCTGGTTATCTTGTTCTCTTAAGGGCTCAATCCTATTTGTTATTTTATTAATCATCAAATTTAAATGTATCAAAACATTCATTACTATCAACCTACATCCAAAATTGCTATTAAAAATACAATAAAATCACATTCCATTAAGAATACCAGGTCTTAAAACACTTTTGGGAGCTTAGCAGGTTATACAAATAAATGGCAAGTCTCTTTAAATGTCAAAATGCCCTTAAAAATTTGCCTCCCTCCCCAGCTCTACCTAGCCATGATGAATGTAAAATTTAAATTTAATCCGTTATCATCAAAGAAAAAGATGCAGAGTCTATGAAGAGCTTTAAAAGCGGCATTTGCAGTGTGACCCTGCAGTCCTCTTCTCATTCCAGAGCGCAAGCCTTGCCATCGTTCAACACTGTTTTGATTGTTACAAGAATTGCACGTCACGCAGGATTGAAAAGTCCACCTGGGCCATTCTCAGTGCCCTGAGCCCTTTCGTTCTCCACGGTGCAGGGGACTCCAGAGTGCGCAGGAGAGCTTTGGCTTGTGTCAAACAGCTGACAGTACGTTAACAGAAGTTTCATATACATCGAAAGTCCCAAACTCCATTGTAGAGTTCAGGAGTCATAAATTACGTGAATGCTAGTGCAAGGTCCAGGTGCCCCCTCCCACCCCCTCTCCAGCTGCTGAAAGTGCCTATGAATTAGGAGTGCACACCCCTCTCTGGATACAATCAGTGCTTTTACAACTTGGACTTTGCCTCAGTCTGTAAAAATTTAAAAAATATCGAGTTGCGACTAATTGAGGAAAAAAAGTGGGGATTGCTCTGCTCATTTTAAAACTCGGCCTCTGGACCTGTGGCTCCAGTGACCTGAGGGGCAGAGTGGGTCTTGTGAGCTCTCACATACTTCATGCCATCTCCTGGACAGAGTTGACTCTGGCCTGAAGTAAGGACCGGACTGAGAAAAGGCATACGTCACCTACACTGACTGCCTAAGACATAGTTAATAACGTCCTCTCTTTGGCTGGCTGAACCTACTGTTCGAGCTCATCTGTGAACTGGATGAGGACCGTTATTGGCCACGACAGCCACACCATCTCCAACAGGCGTTGACGGTCCCCTTGGAACTGGTTAAAGACATAGACGCTCAAGGAAGACCACCCAGGTTCAAATCCCAGTTCTGCCACTTATAGCTTGTGACGTTGGCCGAGTTGCTTAGCCATTCTGCGCCTCATTTTCTTCTTCTATCAAATGGGGTAATGACGGTGCCTCCCTCAGCAGGTCGTGCGGAGGAATAAATGAGTTCATATGTGAGAGCCCTTAAAGCAGGGCCCGGAAGTACGTCCCAGTTACTTGTTATTCAACATCAGCACAACTTCTTTCTGCTCATCTCCAGCGGGTGCTATCGCACCACATGCCTTTTATGCACTGACTCTTTGCTCCGTTAGCTGCACCAATCTTTAGAAAGACCAGCCCAGAAGTCTTATGTACCTTCTGTGGCCATGTTATGGGTTGAATTGAGTCCCCCCAAAAAACATACATTGAAGTCCTAACCGCTAGTACCTCAGAATGTGGTTTTTACAGAGGTAATTAAAGTAAAATAAAGTCATTAGGGTGGGCCCTAATCCAATAGGACTTAAAAAAGGGGAAATTTGGAGGCAGGGGTAGACACATACAGAGGGGAGACGATGTGGAGAGACACAGAGAGAATGCCACGTGACCATGGGCAATTGGCATGATGTGTCCACAAGTCATGGAACATCTGGGGCTACCAGAACCTGGGAGAGGCAAGGAAGGATCCTTTTCCTGCAGGTTTCAGAGGGAGCATGGCCCTGCCAGCACGTTGATTTCAGACTTCTAGCCTCCAGAACTGTAAGACAGTAGACTTCTATTGTTCAAAGCTACCCAGTTTGTGGTACCTTGTTATGGCAGCCCTGGAATACTAATGCAGGTGCTATTCTCGATACCTCTTGGGAGTTAGGAGCTGGGTGGGGGTAGGACTGGTCCCCTATCCACCTGGCAGTTCACCATCAAGGTTTTGTTTCCCCTTGTATATTAGTTAGGAAACCCCAAAACAGAGTAGCTCAAACATAATAGGAATACATTTTTCTCTCACTAAACATTCTGTACAGGGCACATAAGGATCCAAGCTTCTTCTGTTTTGTTGTTCTGCCATCTTTGAAGGCGTTTTTTGCATCTGCATGACGATGACTGCCATCCTGTCTGCCAGGCTTAAATTCCAGCCAGTGGAAAGAGGGAGGAGAGAAAGTGGAAAGATCACACTTTCTCTTTAAGGGCACAATCTGGAGTCTCACATGTCACTGGCACTCACATCCTATTGGCGAGAACCTTGTCACACGGTCTCAGCTAGATGAAGGAGGGTCTTAGATGTGTGGTCTTTATTCTAGGTAGGGTCATGTGTCCAGTTAAAATATAAGAGTTGCGTGTTGTGTGCTGTCCTGGGAGCACAAGGGTAGGTCATTGAGTTCAATGGCCGAGAAGATGGTCAACTCGTTTCCCTTGCAGGCACCCCAAGTCTCTCTCTTCCTCCCCATGAGGAAGTAAGGGAAGGGAAAGCTCATCTTCCTGAATTTCTGTCTCCAAAAGGCAACCTCCTTCTTCCAGTCAGCTCTCCTCAAATCAGGAGGTGGAAATCACGTGGCACAGATTGTGCTGAACTTGTGCAGTTTGTCAGGACACACAAGGACCGGGAAGCCAGCCCCAGTTGCTGGTGATTCTACAACCTTAAACTGTGAGGTTAATGTTTTTTGGTTCTCAACTCTGGGACTTGATATTCAGTTCTGGGAAAACAGCACCTATTTTGCAGATGAGCTAACTGCGGCTTGTCAAGGTTGGAACCACCTAAAGTGTTTTGAAATGTGGATGGTTGAGCCAGAAATGAATTCAGATCTTCAGGCACTAGCCCCATGATGTCATGCTAAGTGCCAATCCTTTGAGCCTCCAGAGGGTCCTCAAAGACCTGGAAACCAACCACCCTAGGGAGACCTAGGACACTGAGGACCAGAGTGATGACAGAGGTCATGGGGATGGCCTCAGTGCGCTCTTGCATTCAGGGACAGAGGAAAGGGAGAGAAGAGAATGATAGACTGATTGAATCAATCTTATTTGGTGAATAAGACTGAACTTTACAATCAGCTTGACTTAGTTAACCCAAGCTCTACTTTATACAGCTGTCACCTGTTAACTTGAAAAGCCTCAAAACGAATTTATTTGGGAATAGCCAAAAGAATTGCAATTCAGGACATGCATGCTATGGCAAACCATAAGCAAATCCAACAAAGAAAGGGAGCTGCTTTTATAGAGAAAAAGAGGAGCAAGGAGGGGATGTTCTAAAGAAAGTCCATTGGGGGAAAGTAACAGTTCAGTGCGGCAATGGCTTCTCATTGGCTGAGCTGTGGTGTTCTCATTGGCTGAGCTGCGGCATTTCTCATTGGCTGAGCTGCAGTGTTTCTCATGTGATTTCTCATTGGCTGAGCTGTGGTGTTTCTCATTGGCTGAGCTCAGTGTTTCTCATTGGCTGAGCTGCAGCATTTCTCATTGGCTGAGCTGTGGTGTTTCTCATTGGCTGAGCTGCAGTGTTTCTCATTGGCTGAACTGCAGCATTTCTCATTGGCTGAAATGTGGTGTTTCTCATTGGCTGAGCTACAGTATTTCTCCTTGGCTGAGCTGTAGGGTTTCTCATTGGCTGGGCTGTTGCTGGGTAGGGAGGGAAATCTTCCTTGAGTAGTAAACTGGGTTTACTTCCTGTCCAAGATGCAGCTTCTGTCTCTTCCTGTTTGGTGTAACTGATGATGTGTGATAGGGTGGGAGAGCTTCCCCTACAGGTCCTCTTGACTCCAGTTTAGTTGAGCTTTCCTTTATTAATTTCCACACACCTTAGTCAAGTTACTTAGCCTCTTTTTATCGGTGTTTTGGAAGCTATTGAATAGGAATAATGTTAGTGCTTACTGGCCTAGACTCCTTTAACCCTGCCAAGGTGGGTTTTGTTACCCCATTTTACTGTACTGGGGCTCAGAAAAAATAGTTTGCCCAAGCCCACAAATTTAGTGAGTAGGGGAACTGGTATTTGGATTCTGGTCTAACTTCATCCCAAATCCTTTGGCTATCCACTCTTCTGTTATCTTCCCAAGAATGCCTTACCATCAGTGTCAAGATGAGAAACAATTTAATTAAGTACTTTGCATAGTGCCTCTCACACAGGCATTGGATAAACATTAGAGACTTATGGGGCACTGGTATGGGTGCTCCCCATGCTGATGAGTTTGCTCTAGTATAATCGGGTAGCAATGGATGCATTAATAGAGGTATAGACTCCAGAAGGAAGGGAATGAGGTCTTGTTTGGCTTGGACCACTCTTGATTTCTGACTTCCATTCTGCACACTTTTTGTTTTCGTTGATCAGTTCGTTGTTTGGTTGGTTGGTTTT